GAGGCAATATGGACGAGGAAGCGCGGAGTGAAGTGACACAGATTCGATGGTGTCTGGAGGGAAGTCATCGTAGCGATGTATGATGGCGAATATCATTGGCTGTGGTGAGAGTAGAAGATTCTTGAAGAAGCCAGCCCTGGAAATGCGTGTGCGTGTGCAGGAGTGTGGATGATCAAAGTCAGAAGTTTCGTGATAATAATCGTGAGAAGGGCGGGGAGGACCGGTGTGTCGAAAGCGTGTCGAGCAGCAGCATCGTTGAACACCTATGCTCGACAAGTCACCGTGAAGACGATGCGAGCGGGTCCTAGCTGGATCGCATTCTGCGGCTTCGATGACCGAGGGCTCACTGATTGGGCTCTGGTAGAAGCGAGGCTGCAGCGATTGCTGCGTCTTGAGCTTCGCTCTGTCCGGGTCGGCCTACAATGTTGCGGCTGCCATATGCTCCCACATCATAGCGGCACATGGGGCACGTGCGACGCGTAGACAACCAGGTCTTAAGGCAGTCTGTTGGATGCGATTTCAGATGACTGAAGCTTGTCAGCAACAGCAATCAATTGTTGCAAGCTGTGGACTCGACAGACGCACCTTTGTGGAAAGCGTGGTTGCAAGGCGCGCTCATGAGCATCGTGTCGGCTTCGTACTCGTCCAGGCAGATGGGACAACGAGGCTCTCTCGAAGCTGCTGCTGCAAGGGCTTCTAGACGGAGACGATCGCTCTCAGGACCTGCTCGATTTTTGCCCTTGCCCTTGCCCGCGACAGGCAATGCCTCCAGCTTCGGCGTGACACATGAGCCGCCTTGCCAGATTGCAAAGACACAAGTTGGTAGACTATCAATGACGCTGGATGGCGTGCGACCTGATGCGATGGCGAGTATATCGTTTCTCAGACGCCATTGAGCACGGAGATCAAGTTCCATCTGCAAGACGAGACGACTGTAAGCTTTTGCGGTCTGGCGATTGCTGTGTTCGAAAGACTTACTAGATGACTGTTGATGCTAGCTGAGGTGTCGTTGTCGCCAGTCCTTCCTCCTGCACCGCTCTGTCCGGCCCTCAACGCGCTCTGGAACC